ACGTAATAGCCGCTGGTTCTCCCGGTCGATCTCCTGTACCTCTTCGTTTGTGAAGGAATAGTTCTTACGTCTGCTGCCAACACTGCAAGGGCTGGAGACCACGAGTACTCTGTCTAACTGTTTCTCTACTTTTAAGAACACTGCAAAGGGAGAGAAAGAGATTCAGCTACAAAAGAAACAGCTACAGAGCTATTTATATCTCAATTCATTGCACCAACCTGGTCCATCCTCTCCTTCAGAACTTATACTGCCCTGACCGTCCGAAACATCATTCGCAACCACCTTCTCAGTAACACTGCGCTGTTGTTGAACAGCTGCTGCAGGTTCAGAGGGCAGAACCACATCAAGGGACTGGAAAGGACTAACATTTGGTGTCGAGAGAGGGGTAACATCAGTGACCGTGTCTTCAGATTCTGCCGTTTCTTTTTGTCGCTCTTTCTGGTGAGCTAAACTGATCCGCTGATGTTTTACAGGTGATTTCTGAGATCGAAAAGAGCTTCTCTCTTCACTACTGTGGGAGGACACAGGATCAGATGATGATGAAAGGCTACGACTCAGCTTGTGGAGTTTTCCAGCAGATTTTTTAGGTGTTCCATGGGACAATCCCATATGTTTCGTTGATCGTGTCACTGGAGATCTCGCATCCTCCTCACTTTCATCGTCACTACGATGGTATCCATCATCATCATCACTGTTAACATTATCATTGGTTTTCCTGAGTTTAAAATCATCATCATGCTCTCTTTCCTCATCAGACGAGTATGAATGCTCACTGGATCCTTCATCTGATTGACTGCTGTTCATAGTCTCTGAGGTTTTGGCACTTGGGAGTGATGAAGAGCCTTTGAAAAAGCCATCAACACGTTGCCGCTCTCTTTCATATTCTGTCTCTTCATTTTGCCTTCTCCTGCCCTGGTTTGAATCATCCTCCAATCTGGCTTTATCTTCACTGTTCCTTTTACTTTGAGCTTCATTTCCTAACTGATCAATTGAAACATGGGTGTCTTTTCCCATTCTCTCATCTAGTCTTTCTAAGACTTTCTGTTTACTGAGCTGCCCATCTTCAGAACCAAGTCCATTAGCTTCACTGTCGCTGTCAAAGAACGAGTGGTCAACTTCTCCCTCTAGCTCTTTGCGGCTGTACATGTCTGTAGTGTGTCTTTCAAATGTGTCCTCATTCAGTGGAATCTGAATGGAAAAAGAAAAAGAAGCTGTAATACAAATACTTTATTGTAGTGAAAAAAAATAACAACAACAAAAAAAACGCATTTTCTGAACAATTTCTGTTTTCTAAAGCAGTGGTTCTCAACCAGGGAGCTATGGCCATCAACAAACTAGCATGGTAATGTAAGATACCTTCAAATTATTTGAAAAAAAGACTATAAAATCACAATATCTCTTATTTTAACTCACCTCAGCAACAACCATTCCTAGTGCCCAGGGGAAAAAATATTTGTCTAGCTATGCCAAATCCCATTTATTGAAATTGAGTAAAAGGTATTTAAAAAAATTCTTCTGCTTCATCATTGTCTAGTAAATCACAAACAACAGAAAAAAAGTAATGGAGCCTTTGAATATTGCTGTCGACAGTTTGGAGTCAAAAAGGTCGAGAACCACTGTTCTAGACATTTTTTTTTTTTTTAATGATTGCTAAAATAATCATCAATGCAAAACCAACTGTTTTTACTATTTTGTTTCTGCTTACTGATTTAAGCAAATCATTACACAAGAATTAACACAAGCGTTAAAATGGTTTATATAATAATAATTATTACTATTATTAGTGAAATGACTACAAAATGTAATAATTATGGAACAAGATTTTTAGTATTTATCCCAATTGATCCCAGTGTTTTTTTTTCTACTGATAAAATTATTGAATATAGACCATAGATTGCAGACCACAAAAATAAATAAATAATAAAAAACATATTTAAACAAATAATTAAATAAATAAATAAAATAAAGAGGTAAAATCCAAGGGTCCACAGTTTTACATATAGCCAAACATAACACAGTAAGTCAGTCTATAAATACATACATAAATAAAGTACACCCAACATAACCGATTGAGCATACATAAAATAATAAAACCGATTATCAGTGCATCTCTGTTGTTTCCTGGCATTAATAAAAACATCAATACAATGCAGATCCTTGCAAAGCTGTCCAGCTGTCAGGAAAAAGTTCAATTAATAACGTTAGTTACAAAGCAAAGGTGAGAGCAGTGCAGCTGAGCAGCTCATAATACACACAGAGGGACATGTTTCCATGACAAAAGCTTTAACAAGCTGTTTAGCAATCCTTCCACAGAAATCCACCTTTAACAGTCTAGCAAGCTCTGCTACATTTAATGTGCATATTTCATTTGATTAGAAATTAGACCATAGACTTGTGTACATACGCCAAAGCACGCCAACGCGAACTCATCCAGCTCATGAAGTTAGCACTAGCAGTGCCTAGCTTTCGACATTCACACCGAAAACATGCGCGACACTGCCAGACAAAATCTCCAGCTGACGTACTTCATTTTCTTTCGCCGTTTATCTCCAAACGCTGTTTTATCAAAGATACAAGTTGAAGATAAGAGCAAAAACACAGGCTTTTTCGGCTGTCCGGCGTGCTGCACAGAGAAGTGTGTGGGCTCGTTAGCGACTGTAACCAGGTGACGTCATTTCCTCAAATAGTTTGGCGCCGCAACAAAATGAGAAGAGCGCGAGGATAAGCTGTCTGCGGTATTTATTTCTCTTCAGGACTTTGGGTCCTTCTCTGCCTAATACTGGCCAGATATATTGCAATAAAGAGGATTGAAATGCTATTAAACGTAATTTAAGTCATGTAAGTATGTGAGAAGCTTCCAAATTCTGTTTTGAGCTACATTTCATATGTATGCATTCAGTGTTGGGGAAAGTTACTTTTTAAAAGTAATGCATTACAATATTGCGTTACTCCATAAAAAAGTAACTAATTACTTTTACAACCAAGTGGATGCTGCACACTGGTGGTGGTGGTTGAGGAGAGACCCCCCACATGATTGTAAAGCGCTTTGGGTGTACAACAATACACAATAAAGCGCTATATAAATGCATCATTCATTCATGCATTCATTCATTCAGTTACGTTACTTAGTTACTTTTTATGGAAAGTAATGCGTTACGTTACTTTTGCGTTACTTTTTAAATCTGGACAGGGCTTGCTTGTTTGTTTTTAAAATAAAAAAGTTGTATTTTTGGCAAATATAAAAGCCTTTTCACACCAAAAGTGAAATGAATAAGCCTCAGGCTGAAGGGAAAGTACATTACGTCCGTACAGTAGAATGCAGAAGAAGACATTTCAACACACTTCAGCAATAAAAAAAAAGATGCACAAATGTTGTCTAGAGTAATTTGTGCTTATTAGTATGATTGAACTGGATCATCAAAGACATTGGTTAATAGAACGGGATTAAATACATAAAGGATATTTGTGTTGTTTAACATTTAATTATTGCAGGTTTGCATCATATTCTGAGTTGCATTATTTTTATTCATTTTGAGGAATACTGAATTTTTTATTTTTTTTGTGAGTGAGATGAATTAATGCATATTCATATTTATTTTAGAACTACAGTAACATCTTCTGATTTCTCTCAACATGGAGACACCAGATCTGTCAATCAATAAATTGAAAAAAAGTAACTTCCCATTTATTGACTGGCAGCTGATGTTGAGAGAAATCAGGAGTAACTTAAGTTTCAGTGGCGTTCTGTGTGCTGGGTAAACAGGATGGTTACTGGACTAGAATAAATGTGAACATGCATTTACTCATCTCACTTGCACAAAAACAGAATCACTATTTCTCAGACTTAATTAAAATAGTGAAATGCTCAGAATATTATGCAAACCTGCAATAATGAAATGTTAAATAACTCAAGTATGCTAATCTTACTGTATTATCCAATGTCTTTGCTGCTGGTGATCCAATTCAACCATATTAATAAGCAAAAACGACTTTAGTTAAACATCACATTTGTGTTTCATTGCTGAAGTGAACTTTCTTCTGCATCCTATTCTTTATGCAATCCAGAATGGCAGCACAGCAGAAAGGTTTGTTTGAGCTGCGTCCTCTACTGTACAGACGTGCATTTACATTTCCTTCACAACAAGGTCTTTAAAAGATTTGGCAAAAATATAGCATTTTTGTTATTAAACAAACAAACAAGCTCAACACAGATTCGAAAAAGGAACACAAAACTAATATAAAAAGTAACGGAGTTACTTTTTTTGGCAGAGTAATGCAGTATTGTAACACATTACTTTTAAAAGTAACTTTCTCCAACACTGTATAATGTCAGTGACAAATCAACCATCTCTAACCATTTGAGCTGCATTGTTACAATCTGTTTCGAAATGATTTCTCAAGCTGATAAACAAGCATTGCTTTTGTCTGTTATATCATATCGCAGTACGTGACCACTGTACATGTTTACTGATGCTGCTGCCAGCTCAGTCTTAAAGGCTGGCATTCTGCTGGATTGTGGCCTCTCTCATGTTTGCTTGGCACATCTGGCATGCCAGATCCATCATCCTTACAGCCTGCAAGGACAGACTTGCCAAGTTCAGCGTCCTCTGCTATTAAAATAAATGCTATTAAAAAAATTATTTCATGCACTCATAAGCATGAAGGAAAAAAAAAATCTGCACAATCCAACAAAACATTATTTATCTCTGACCAACCCATTTCAACGTCAAATTACAAATTAGATTTTTTTTCCCTCAAATATGACAAATACATTTTGTCAGACCGTAATGTAAACAATTTCTTTATTAAATGTACTTATTAAAGCAGAGTATCTCAGAGTGATTGTGAATTGATGCAAAAGTGCGTACGTGTGGAACTGCACGGCTCGTTTCGCAAGCTGTAGGAGGATTGATGCAGAGTCACGTGACAACGACTGCCCGTTCTTGATCCTGATTGGTCTGTATCATAGAACAACGTGGTCTAAATAGCTTTGCATCTGTGCGCTTGTTTGATTGCAGAACGCTTCTGAGCAACAGCGGAGTGGCTGTCACGCCCAGTCAAACTTTTATACGGCATTATTCTTTGTGAAATTATCCAGACATCAGCTACTATGTTTTTGCTTGAGACAGAGTCGGTAAGTCAATTGAATTCATTTATACTATTATGGGTATGAAAAGTCAGAATCATGTTTATAACCAAGTAACAACAACAACAAAGCGTTTCAAGCATTTAAAAACGAAAGCCACAGGCCTACTATTAGTCGAAATGCGCTTTAAAACTTTTAGAATACAATGTCTTTAAATTGAAATGTTGTTCGTGTTTCACTGTGTTTCCATTCAGCTGGACTGCACGAGTAATCTTTTTGAAAGCGGGTTTGCGGTGAATGGAGGTCTGAGTGGTCGCGGGCAGTCTCCAGCGCATCTCGCGGCGTGCGGAGGTCAGGCCTTCTGCTTGCTTTGGCTGCTGCAAACCGCTGCTGATGCAAACCAGCAGGTACCAAGTATCCTCCGTTAAACAGTAGTTACTTGGGGTTCTGTTGTTGAGGATTACATTCCTGTCAGTTAATGTGTATTCCCTTCCCTTTTGCATTTTTTGTTTCAACCTTTGATGTGATTTTCTTAAGGACGCGAGCGGAGAGACACCCATGCATAAAGCAGCCAGAGCGGGCAGTCTGGAGTGCATCAGTGTGCTGATGGCAAGCGAGGCACATTTCGAGTAAGTGGATGGTTTGATAGTTCCTGTTTCAAGCATTTGTTTGATAGAGAGAAACTGGCAAATATTTTCAATATGTATTTATGCAGTACATTTAATGTCTCTACTTTACTTTTAGTCATTTAGCAGATGCTTTTATCCAAAGCGACTTACAAATAAGAAAAAGTAATTAAAACTAAAAGCTAAAAGCTTTTAAGAAAATAAAAGAAATGAAATAAACATGACAAATGCATACAACAACATTCCAAAACTAACACATTTAAATGAAAACAAAAAATAAAGCTAAAAACAATTCAAACATACACAAATAAGAAAAAGTAATTAAAACTAAAAGCTAAAAGCTTTTAAGAAAATAAAAGAAATGAAATAAACATGACAAATGCATACAACAACATTCCAAAACTAACACATTTAAATGAAAACAAAAAATAAAGCTAAAAACAATTCAAACATACACAAATAAGAAAAAGTAATTAAAACTAAAAGCTAAAAGCTTTTAAGAAAATAAAAGAAATGAAATAAACATGACAAATGCATACAACAACATTCCAAAACTAACACATTTAAATGAAAACAAAAAATAAAGCTAAAAACAATTCAAACATACACAAATAAGAAAAAGTAATTAAAACTAAAAGCTAAAAGCTTTTAAGAAAATAAAAGAAATGAAATAAACATGACAAATGCATACAACAACATTCCAAAACTAACACATTTAAATGAAAACAAAAAATAAAGCTAAAAACAATTCAAACATACACAAATAAGAAAAAGTAATTAAAACTAAAAGCTAAAAGCTTTTAAGAAAATAAAATAAATTAAATAAAAATGACAAATGCATACATTTCAAAACAAACATTTAAATGAAAACAAAAAAATAAAGCTAAAACCAATTAAACCATGATATTTTGTCAGATTCTTCGATGAATAGAAAGAACAATTGAAAAACATAATTTAATTGAAATAGCTTTTTTTTGTAATAGTGTCAAAGTCTTTACTGTCACTTTTGATCAATTTAATCTGTCTTCGCTGAATAAAAGCATTAATTTCCTTCCAAAAATAAAATAAAAACATAAATGAAATAAAAATAAAAAATGACTGGCCACAAACTTTTAAATGGTGGTGCATTTAAAAAAATTTAAAAATAAATTCCTTACTGAAAATGTCTTAACTTTTGCTATATGTTAATTTTATTACTATTGTTATTGTTAGTAATGAATAATTAAGCAACAAGCACTTTTAAAACAGTGCTTGAGATTATCCCACAGAATATATAAAAATACAGTACACCATATTATAGACATAAATGGGCAAATTCATTTTCAAAAGTTGTTTACCTGTTAAAGCAAACGTCATCGATTATAGTCAACAACTAAAAGATTGTTAATGGTTAAAAGAGATTTTGCACTTTAAAAAGTGCTCATGACATATTCAGCCACCTGTAAACGGGGGAGTTTACCGATAAATGAAAATGTTACCATAATTTTACTTACCACCCATATCATTTGTCATCAATCAGATGTGTCTAAAGTCTTCAATTTGAAATTAACAAGCCACATTTTTAAACAAGTACAAGGGCAGATTTGATCTGTTTCTCACCCTGAATTATCATATGACTTCAGAAGACTTGGAATATAATTTTAATAAGACGTATGGAACATTTATGATGCATACTACAAAATTCTCATTTTGTGTTCCACAGATAAAAAGGTAAAAAAATTAGCTAACATGTTTAGAACGACAACATGAATTTCATTTGTGGGTGAACTATTACTTTATTACATACGGTCTCACCTTAGCATCCTCAATGTTGGGTGGGTTCAGGTGTATGTGGGGATTGCGGAGGTATCCGTCTTTATAAGCTGCATCAGGGAAATGAAAGGCATTGGCACGTCTCAGGTATGGCCTGTCACATGGTAATTTAAACTTCCTGTGCAGATCCTACACACATAGGAAGTTGACTTGGTTTAGGGACCACACATGTGGATCAGTAATAATCAGTTCAATAATCATTAAAACATTGTTCTTCCTCTGATGAAAACGTTGTGTGTGTACTGTGTACACTACCGTTCAAAAGTCTGGGGTCGGTATGTTTAACTCATGTTTAATTGTTTGAAAGCACCAGTTCGGGTCTCTTATGCTCACTTAAGGCTGCATTTTTATAATCAAAAATACAGTAAAACAGTAATAATGTGAAATATTATTTCAATTTAAAAGAACCGTTTCCTATTTTAATATATTTTAAAATGCAATTTATTCCTGTGAGGACAAAGCTGAATCTTCAGCATCATTTCGCCAGTCTTCAGTATCACACGATCCTTCAGAAATCATTCTAATATGTTGCTTTGCTGCTCAAGAAACATTTCTGATTATTATGAATGTTAAAGACAGTTGTGCCATTTAATATTTTTGTGAAAACTGTGATTCATTTTTTCAGGATTGAAAAAAATTGAACATTTATTTGATTTTTAATTTTTTTTTATTTTAATGTCTCCTTGCTAAATAAAATAATAATTATTAATAATTTTATTTTACTTACCACCCATATCATTTGTCATCAATCAGATGTGTCTAAAGTCTTCAATTTGAAATTAACAAGCCACATTTTTAAACAAGTACAAGGGCAGATTTGATCTGTTTCTCACCCTGAATTATCATATGACTTCAGAAGACTTGGAATATAATTTTAATAAGACGTATGGAACATTTATGATGCATACTACAAAATTCTCATTTTGTGTTCCACAGATAAAAAGGTAAAAAAATTAGCTAACATGTTTAGAACGACAACATGAATTTCATTTGTGGGTGAACTATTACTTTATTACATACGGTCTCACCTTAGCATCCTCAATGTTGGGTGGGTTCAGGTGTATGTGGGGATTGCGGAGGTATCCGTCCTTATAAGCTGCATTAGGGAAATGAAAGGCATTGGCACGTCTCAGGTATGGCCTGTCACATGGTAATTTAAACTTCCTGTGCAGATCCTACACACATAGGAAGTTGACTTGGTTTAGGGACCACACATGTGGATCAGTAATAATCAGTTCAATAATCATTGAGACATTGTGCTTCCTCTGATGAAAACGTTGTGTGTGTACTGTGTACACTACCGTTCAAAAGTCAGGGGTCGGTATGTTTAACTCATATTTAATTGTTTGAAAGCACCAGTTCGGGTCTCTTATGCTCACTTAAGGCTGCATTTTTATAATCAAAAATACAGTAAAACAGTAATAATGTGAAATATTATTTCAATTTAAAAGAACCGTTTCCTATTTTAATATATTTTAAAATGCAATTTATTCCTGTGAGGACAAAGCTGAATCTTCAGCATCATTTCGCCAGTCTTCAGTATCACACGATCCTTCAGAAATCATTCTAATAACATTTATTTGATTTTTTTTATTGAATTTATTTATTTTAATGTCTCCTTGCTAAATAAAATAATAATTATTAATCATTTTTAAAAAAAAATTTATTCTTACTGACCCTAAACCTTTGAACGGTAGTACATCTGTTCATGTCTTGCCTCTCTGACGGCCTGTAGCTGGCTATCTGGCACTCCTGCAGGGTAGATTACAGTAATGAGTCCAGCTGGTTTAGGCAGTTGAAAGTGAAATGGCTGTGGCACCAGGAAAGATGAGCCCTTCCTGTACCGTAGCACCACCCTTTCCATGTCTGCTAACTGCTTATTTAATGCCTCCACCAGCCCTGTACACACACTGAACACACACACACATATATACACACGTCTGGTTTGCTATCCTTGTAGGGACTCTCCATATTCGTAATGGTTTTTCAACTGTACCGACCGTATATTCTATTGCCCTACACCAACCCTACCCCTAAACCTACCCCTCACAGGAAACTTTCTGCATTTGATTTATTAGCCTGTTTACCCGTGGGGACCTCAATTTAGGTCCCCACCATGACACGAGTCCCCATGAGTCTGTGTGTAGTCAGGTTGAAGTCTCCACCAGAATAGAAAAACAGGTACACACAGACACACACACACACAGATTGTGCTGAACTTCTCAACCCTGATCTTAGCATTCAATTCATAGCAATAAGAACACTTCCTTATAAACCTCAAATATTTTGACAACCTGAGCCAAAAATAAATAAAAGCACTCACATTGCCAGGCTCTCATCAGTGGCCACAGACAGAGTACAGTCTAAAGGCAGTGGCATCTTCACACAATGCTGCTGTGTGCTCACTGGGATGAGACTAAGAGCTTCATCCCCAGCAGGTTCTGTGACCTCAAACAACAGCTCCATATTCACTGCAGTCTACATAAAGATGGACAGCAGAGAGTTACTGTCAGAGTGACTGTTAACAGTTACCACCTTTCAAACCATCTAGTCAAAGACTCTCACAGGTCCAGATTTCTTCTTATCTTTCTTTTTTGATGACTTCTTGCTCCCACCATCATCTGACCTGTGGACAGCAACAAGAAAGTATCATACTTAGTTAACATTCTTACGATGCACACTACATAATACTCTACATACACAAACATTAAAGATATGAAAGACCTTACTCTATACACTGCAAAATGTCTCCACATGCTGATGCTTCTGTCAAGCTTTCCACACTTGACTGGAAACCAGTGTTAGGCCATATTAATACTGGACTGTTACATACAGTGAAAACAATATTTTTTGATGATACTTTGGATCGGAGATGCTGGAAACTTTTTGATATGGTGCTTTGACTTTGTGCGCCTGCCAAAAGGAAACGAGATTTTTTTCCTCTCTCTCATGAAACAGCTTATATGTAAATGTTTTTTTTCATAAAATAAAGTTAAAATGAAAAGTTTTACAAATCAAGCTCATGCTTTTATAATTTGAGCTTTACCATTTGGATTGTCAAGCTGGCAAGCAAACTCCAAGATTCCTTTCAATCGAAATATAAAGTCGCACTCTTCTGAATAAACCTGAGGAAATCGAAACACGCATCATTAATTATATATATTATAATTATATATTAAGTATATGGATCGTGCTGTTCATTAATTCCCTCTGAAGCATATGTTGACAAAAGGCTAGCTCATAAACATGAACATGGTTTCACGAAAGAAAGCGCATTCAAAATTCAAAATAGCTTATTACCATTTTAATTCCTTCAAACCAATGATCAAATTCACCAGAAGGCTGACATATTTGATGACGGATCATAACACGTCCGCATCTTCCTCGCGTGGTTGATTTCGTGTCACGGGGAAATACAGTCTCTTACTGCCCCCTGCTGATCTGACTGTGACTGCGCAAAGTGCAAATGATCCAAACACAAGGCAATGACAAAATATACTGTACGACGTTTCTGTTTAATAAACAGTGTTGGGGGTAACGCATTACAAGTAACGCAAGTTACGTAATCAGATTACTTTTTTCAAGTAACTAGTAAAGTAACGCATTACTTTTTAATTTACAAGAGAATATCTGAGTTACTTTTTCAAATAAGTAACGCAAGTTACTTTTTGTTTTTCAATTTATTGATTGACAGATCTGGTGTCCCCATGTTGAGAGAAATCAGAAGATGTTACTATAGTTCTAAAATAAATATGAATTAATTCATCTCACTCACAAAAAAACACAGATTCAGTATTCCTCAAAATGAATAAAAATAATGCAACTCAGAATATGACACAAACCTGCAATAATTAAATGTTAAACAACACAAATATGCTTTATGTATTTAATCCCATTCTATTAACCAATGCCTTTGCTTCTGACCTTCGATGATCCAGTTCAACCGTACTAATAAGCAAAAATTACTCTAGACAGACATTTGTGTGTTTTCTTTATTGCTGAAGTGTGTTGAAATGTCTTCTTCTGCATTCTACTGTACGGACGTAAATGTACTTTCCCTTCAGCCTGAGGCTTTTTCATTTCACTTTTGGTGTGAAAAGGCTTTTATATTTGCCAAAAATACAACTTTTTTATTTTAAAACCAAACAAGCAAGCCCTGTCCAGATTTAAAAAGTAGCGCAAAAGTAACGTAACGCATTACTTTCCATAAAAAGTAACTAAGTAATGTAGTTACTTTTTTTATGGAGTAATGCAATATTGTAATGCATTACTTTTAAAAGTAGCTTTCCCCAACACTGGTAATAAATGAACTGTAAGTAAAGAATGAATGTTCTTTCAGAACAAGTGATATTGCTTGTTTTCTGAATGTTTATTTAGTTTTTAGCCTTTAACAGTAAAAAGAAACAATAGTTGTGGGAGAGAGGATGAATGGCAAAAACAATTATGAAATCATGACAATAATATTTAATATTTATTGAAAGAATATTATTAATTAATTTCTAACCAGTAGAGATTCATTTATAGAAGCTATAATAATGGCACAAATTTAAATAACATTTTACTACAATTTAAAATAACTAATAAAAAACTATATATACTGTATATATATATATATGTGTGTGTGTGTGTGTGTGTGTGTGTGTGTGTGTGTGTGTGTGTATATAATATCTGTCTCAGTAACATTCCCTTATATTTTCCCCAGGTCTTTGCATATTATCTTTCTCCTTGGTTGTATGTCTTCAAATTGAACCTTTATCTGCTATGTTGTGTCGCCTCCTATCAGTAAGAAAACATTTAAAAATAAAGCCAACTTGTAAATAGTTTGTTTCAACTAGTCTTACTTATAGGATGCTGAGCTGGTGGACTTTGCTGTGGTGGACTGTAAAGCAAGGCTCTCAGAGGGTTTCCCTGAAAGCCTCCTGAGACCAGCAGCTTTGTTGTTTCCTTTCAGCTGCAGTGAGATGCTGTTAGTAAGGCTGAAATATTCCTGATGGAGCCTCTTTACTTCCTGACGCAGTAGATTCCTCTCAGTCTCTACAGTGAGCAGGCAGCATGCTAGTTCATCCAGCTGCTCCTGAACTCTCTCTGCGCTACGTTCAGCATCTTTTATGACCTGACTGCTGTGGTGCAGTCTCTCTCTTGGAGTCTGGTTTTCCTGTTGTAGCTGCGTTATCTTCCTCTCGTCGACTATTTCTGAATCCTGTTTCATTCTTTGAGATTTCCTGACTGGTTCCATTAAGTTCCTTACCTTCTCTTGGAGAACAACGACTGTTTCTCTTAGTTGCTGCTTCTCCCGGTGTTTGCAGCATGAGATTGTCTCCAGATCTTCAGACTAAAGTCTGTTCTGCTTTAAGACCTCTGTAATTCTTTGCCTCATTTGCTGGTTTTTAATGAGAAGTTGTTTGTTCCTTGTGTCCAGGTCTTTGTTGATGTATTTAAACGCTTTAAACCTCTCCACAAATCTCTGCAGCTCTGTTTTGCATTCGTTGGAATACTTCTCCATCTTCTCCATCTCCACCTCTAGGTTTTCCTTCTCTAATTGTGTGCACTTTACTAAATAGGCCTCAAATGGACACTTACGGGCACAGCCTGCTTCATGTTTCATTGCTTTATTTTCTTTCTTATTATCCTCCTCAAGACGCACGGTGTCTTTAAGGTTTGTGGTTGCTTGGGACTTGCTGTCCATTACACGGTCTCCTCCTCTTCCTCTTGTTTGCATGGCAGGGGTAGAATTGAACCCACACGGTAAAATATTGTCTGAAAATCTAGACTTCTCCATGATGTCCGTGGCACTGACAGTTCTGCTGTGTGTCGTTTATCAGGTCTATGTAAAGCTATTCGACTTCTCCTTCACCCTGTTGACTGATGCCTGTTATACAACAGCAACTTCTTTCCTTTTGTGTGGGATTCCTGAAAAGGATAACCTTGTTTATCTCAAATGTATTTAGAGTAGCAACCCATGCAATTAATTGCATTTGAACTAATTTTATTTCTTGCATTTAACCAAAAACAAGAAATAGAACTTTATCATTAACTGTGTAACTAAACCAACCAACAAACAACGCGACTAAGTAACGTTAAAACTAATTTAAGGTCCGTTCACACCAACAATACAAATAGCCTAAAGATAACTGTAATCATATCATTATTATAACCAGGATTTAACTCAATATTTAGAATTAGAAAAGGAATAGAATATTAACAAAGCATGAGTAAATAAACATTTATTTACAATACTCCCTTGAGGCCTACCGTAACAATGATTGCAAGATCACTTCATTAAGCACCTAATATTTTGTAATTTTCGTCTCATTAGGATATCCAGATATCTATTTTTGGGTGACATTACCGCGAAGAGGGGGAGACACTTACTGATCATTTGTTTATATTTCTTGCTTCGATTCATATTTACTTTAGTTTGATGGGTGTATCTATGGTAACCTCAAATTAATAAATAAAATTAATGTAAAAAAAAAATATTATTTATTGGTATTTATGATACATAGCCTATATTTGGCTAGGCCAGGCAGGACACTGCATCACTCAAGGTGGCAGTAATACTCCAAAGCAGACTTTTCTTTTCAAGTGATGACAGAAGAAGAGCAAAAATAAATTTTGAATTGAAATGAATAAATGCTTGACATATTTTGAATTCATAAATTCTTCTTGTGACCTGCATGCACATCAACAATGATGGCAATGATGTAAGGACACATTATGTTGTCAGGAAAATGCTCCCCTGTCTTGCTCAAACACACCTGACAAGAGATATTATGATTCTCCAAAAAACAAAACCTTTATTCATACAAACTTATTTCAGTCAACACACCCTATTCCTACAAAGTGCAAAATAGCACACATGACATGACAATGCACTATCCATAAATGTGTCTCTCAGTATTTGGTTGACATGATTGTGCATGAATTGTGGTAAAACTTTTGTGTCTGTGGTTAAAACAAGATGTTCATGCACTGAGTAGTTGAGTTGCAGTTGGTGCCCTCATGCAATCAGAAGAACGACGAGAAGGTCAAAGGTCGGGACTCTCAGGAGGTTTGGCCCGGGCATGAGCGTGGGTTTCACAGTATAGCTCATCATTTATGAAGTAGTACCCTCTCTGCTTTAGATTTTCCTCACAATCGGTGCACACAAAACAGTCCGGATGACGAAACTTATCCTGAACCTTCACAACCGTCCCACTGAGAAAACAGAGACAGAGCCAATCAGAGACAGCCATAGAATAAGAGACAGGGAGATAGAAATGTTAACCTGGATTCTTGAGTTCTTACTGATCTCAAACTTTTGAACAGTAATGCACTTTTATATGTTCATTCCTTTAGGTGTGAAAGTGGGAAAATATGAATACATAGGTATCATCACGGTTATCAGCCCATATTAGAGGAATGTTGTCCATTATTGGACAATACTAGTGTTTAGAAATTATTAAGCAAATCTCAAAATAAATATCCACTTTTTATTCTGTACATTGTTATGTTGTGATACCTAAATTCACTTGTAGCCTAATATTGAAAATGATTGCTTTTATTTTTTAATTTTTTTAAGCCAAAGTGTGTAGAATTTTAAAAATGTATCACTTATTATCAGCCATAACATGATATATATATATGGTTTATCATATTTGACAGAATTTTTCTTTCTTCTGTTGAAGAAATATTTGGTGACTTCTATGTATAACCAAGAATAAAAATAAAAATAAATATTTTGACAATGAGCAATGACTCAAGTGGCCTGACTCACACTATGCCGTTACCACACTTATCACACATCGGTAGCTTGTGCAAGTTCCCCGCCGGAGCAGATGACTTGGTCGTGGGGGCACAGACTTTCCTTGTCACTAATGGATGTGTACCTGTCAATCAAAAAGATCGGAATCCCAGTACCCATCATGTTTACATTACAGTAGGCTATGTAATTCCAAATGATTCCAATTCAATTGCAGATTTCAAAAGTACCGATTATTTGTAGCCTACCCTAAACATTGTTATCTGATTTTAATATTCGGTAGCATGTGCATTCCATCTATTCAGAAAATGTCACTAAACGTATGTGAGCATAATTGACATTTTTCTCTGACATATCTTAAGGAAATATTCCAAGGTTGGCATGGCTAATATTGTCATATTTAATGGATAATAATGGATAATAGTATTACCTTATGTAACTGTATAACTGTGTACTGTATAATACAATATCGATGCTGTAGATCAGTGTTACATCTAATATTTAGTATAGTATCTTGTGTACTGCATAAAAAAATAAATGTTCAAAGTTGTAAATAAAACAAATTACTGGAGTATATTTTACAAGAAAATACTATTTCAGTTGTTCTACATCAAAATGCCCCATTTAATTCAATGTGTTTAATTCAATGTGTTTAATTCAATGTGTTGAACTAGCAATTTCTTTGCAATTAATTAATTATTAAATATTGTGCATTCTCTTTTGTTTTTGTGTCTGTCTGTTATTGCAGTGTATGCATGTCATACCCTCACTGTTGATAAAGCTCTGTAGGGCTTTAAAGGATCCCGACTGTCGTGGTTCATGGGGCTCATCTTTATCTTCATTTCTCTGCAGCATCCGATATACATCGGACTCCTCTATATTGCTAAGCTTCCTGGGACTACACACACACACACACGTAATTTCAAAGTAGTCTCCTCCATAGAATCAAACTAGATGTTATACTTCAATACATGATGATAACTGAGCAATGTTTCCTGATCAGCTCAGTGCTACTAACAATACAAAAATACCCATTCCCTGATCATTTCCTAGAAGGATTTACTAGACTGATTGGCTCAGGTTCGGGTATGAAGGTTTGAACATTCACCTTTCTGGTTTGTTATGGATGAGGCCCTTGAGCTGTCCTTGTAAGGCGTCTTGGATATTGCCTGAAGAGTAAAGGCCAATAGGGGAGTTGTAGGTTGGGCTCACCACCTGACGCGTTTCATCGATGTTGGCTGCGGCCACAAAGGGCGAAGCCCTTCGATTATGGCCTGTTCCTATTGGTGTGTACTCCTGTCAGGCAAAAATATAAGCATTATAGATGAAACCACATGATACAGATAGACATCATACATAAAATATGAAGACACATACTTGTCTCTCTGCCTCTAGGTTCATTTTAAATGGATGGCTTTTGTTGTGTTCAGCGACATTTGGTGACCACAACTTAGTCTCTGGTCTGCAAAACAATGATATGATCACATTTTCATTATTTATTGTTTTTCCTATTTGGCCTGAATATATTTATTTGAACACATTCAAAAACACAAAAACGCCAAATCTTAAAAAAGCTAATGCACAGCTTCCCCTTTATGTGGTGCAGAGTGCAAGCTCATGTGCTGCTGTCCAGCTAGTTAGGTGGATCTAAAAGTGACCTCTGACCTCTCAACAGTAAGTGTGAGCTGATGGGTGGCATCCTTGATTAGAGTCTGAGCCTCCGAGTGCATCATGTTTTCTGCAGAAACTCCATCTATTGCTAAGATGATGTCTCCAGGAGAGAGGTTGACTCTGGCAGCTTTACTTCCTGGTGATAACTAAAAACGCAAAATTGTAGACAACATCAGCAGGAGCTAGCTGAAAGTGTTATCAAATGGCAACGCTCCAATCTCAGTTCTTACTGATGTTTAATAAACAAAAATATGTCTAAAAAGTATATTCTTCCTCCTCTTCTTCTTCTTTTACTTAATGACCTCTTATTGATAGTTCTTACTTTCAATAAAGTTAAAGTGAATATCAAATATTCGCAAGACTTTTGAGAAACGTTTATGCGTACATTGTTTATTTGTAGATCTTTTGCTCCCCACAATAAAAACTGCAGAGCTTTGATCATAACACTAAGCATTTAAATATCATCTTACTAAGACATATTATTGTGATTTATAGTGACAACGGATATTTATATGTATTTTATGTAAGTAGTCTGTTATACTGTTGTAAAGATGCCATTTATTTATTTATTTTGTAATCTTTTTAAATTTATTTTTATTTTATTTAATTAAATTTTAGTTTATTTTGCCATATAAATATCTGCAACTGTACCAAATTGCATTTTTTTAGGCCTCTCGTAGATCTTTATTTAGTCCTCTGAATAAAACTGAGGTGTTTTTATTCTCCTTTAGTTTTTTTTAACCATGACTATTTATAATATTTATAATTTATAGTTTCAAATGCTATAAAATGTTTTTTGAAAAAAAAAAAAAAAGATTTTTAACAATGATATAAAACACATGAATACAAAGAGTTCATTTAATAACAACTTGTTACATGTCTTGAATTCCGTTTTCCCTTTTCTTTATTGTGGAAACTCTTTTTCATTGACCCACATACACGGCTGGAACAACATGAAGGTGAGTAAATGATGACAACATTTTTGGGTGAACTATCCCTTTAATGTGTGTGAGTGAGGACACAAATGTGTATAATGACATGGGTACTACAAGTAAACATGGTTTATGAGGTACACTTAAACCCAATGGCTTAAAAACATACTAAATGGCATTTTTTAAAAGTCAAAAAAATGGCAGTAGTTTTGTGTGAGTGGTAGGTTTAGGGGTATGTTTAGGGTAAGGGGATAGAAAATACAGTTTGTACAGCACAAAAACCACTACGTCTATGGAGAATCCCCGTAAACCACATTTACAAGTATGTGTGTGTGTAAGTGTGTCTATGTGTACGTGTAAGTCCTTGTCATCATTGGTATGTGCACCCATGTAAACTACTCTCCACAGTAAACATGCTGGGGAAATAACAGTCTCCAGAGAAGTCCTGCAGTCCTGCTGTTATCAGTTCTCAGAATGAAGCGCTACAGATGAATTATAGGAAACTGCACATGCACTGCATTATTTGACTTGCATTACACGAGCAGAATGGCATGTATAACCGCATAAGAACCAAATGTAAAGGTGCATCCATCATATTAGTCATATATCAAAAGGCATTCTGGGTGCAGTGGGGTTTGTCTGTGGAACTGCACTGGTTTGGCATTGAATCAGGTCCTGACTCCTAAATGAGCTCTTCATCAGCAAGCAGAAAGACGGATCAAGAACTCAATATGTTTCTTATAGTCTCTTATCCATTCATCCCAGATGTAGCAGCTTTATCTTTTTAATTTAAAATACAAACGCACCAGTACTTTTACATCTCATATGCTCAGAACCCAAATATAGTCCACTAGAAGGCATTTGCTCTACTAACAGAGCAGAACAGACTAAATCAAGATGACTTTCACAATACAAAGGACTGTTTTCTAGTTAAATATCTCAGCATCCTTAAAACAAGATCAGTTTACTTGAAAAGTACAACTGCATAATATATCGAGCCCGGTTTCATAATAAATTAGCGAGTGGTTTCTAGAAACGACTCCCAGTTTCTAAAATCCAGCTTAACAGATACATAAAAAAAGTGACCTCAAGTTTTATTCCAATCAATTTTCTCACCCCTGAGAGACAGTTCCACAGTCTATTGTCATTTGTGAGGCCAACAGATCCCCCTCTTACATTTTGAGTACAGTTCAACAACCTGCTGTGGGTAAAACAGGCCTGGTTTCCAAACACACTTTGATTAATAAAGTCCAGGTTACAGTCCTAGCTGTAAGTAAAAACAACTCACACGGCCTAGAGACAGAGGACAGGAGGGTGTTTGACCAAAAATGGCTGCGCAATGTTGAGATTAAGTAACAGTGTCATGCTGAACCGCAGAGTGAGCAGAGAATGTTCCAAGTTTGAAATCTCATTAAAGCAAAGTAGAAATCCAAAACTAGAGCTGCACAGAGAACAAAAGCATAAAACCTCTGCGCAAACAGATCAGCACAATAACTTCATTGTGTATTTCAACACTGGAGTTTTGATCATGTAATAGGTTCTAACCTTTTAAAAGTTATTTAAACAATCCATTTTTTAAACAGTATTATTGTCTGAAGATTCAGTTTTCATGTGAATTTAAAGAAGCTTTTTTGAAAGATATTATATGACTGTATGACTTTCTTCCACGGAACACAAAAGCCTCAGACTCAGTTTGGATAAGAGCAGCCAGGATGTTCCTCAAAAATTCACCTTTTGAGTTTCATGGAAGACAGAAATCATGGTTTGGGACGACATGATGACTGAATTTTAATTTTTGGGTGAACTATTTCTTTAAGGGTCAAAAAAACAAACTCAAAGCTGTTTGAATCAGTCAGTGCTTCTATCTATCTATCTATCTATCTATCTATCTATCTATCTATCTATCTATCTATCTATCTATCTATCTATCTATCTATCTATCTATCTATCTATCTATCTTTCTTTCTTTCTTTCTTTCTTTCTTTCTCTTTTGGACTCTCTGACATTTGTTTAGACGTAGAATACACAAATCCACTGCCACAGCAGGTGTGAGGATCCACATGTTAGTTCCAGTGAATGATTCATTAACAGTTTTAGCTACACACATAAATAGAGCACGAGGATAGCCATTGTTCTCCTCCATAAAACATTCTCTGTATAAGGGATGACATACTGCAATCCTCAATTCATGCCAGATTTTGTTGTATACAATTTCATTATCAAACTGATTTATTCTCTTTTACGCACCCTGTTTGTGTTTTATGTATTGTATTATTCCTTTATCAATATTGTCATGCACTATGAAGTGTCCTTTTCTAATTGAGCTTAAAAATATTTAGTTTTGATTTAATGTTTAAAAAAAAATTTGTTTAAAGGTGTATTTTTTTTCATTTTTATGTTAATGTAGATATGTCTATATATATATATATATATATATATATGTATGTTTTATATATGGACATGCACACACACACACACACACACACACATTATTATTATAGAAGAGCTGTGCATTCTTAATCACTGAGAATAAGAATTCAAACAAGGCATATAAGCAAACACTTCCTAAAACAGGTCAGTGATTCAACAGTCATTGCACTTTTTGTTTTTCACTGAATTACAACTGAATTGTAAAATCTACACACACTCACTTTGGCGATGGTAAGGGGTTGGCTGAAGTCCTGTCCTCCAATAAGTCGAAAGCCCCACGGCACGGGTCCATCCAGTACAACAGTGAACGGCATATCCACAGCAGGTGTGTGTGTGTGAGTGTGTGTGTTTCGAGTGTGATGGTGAATTCAACTCTAAATCCTTTAGAGGAGATTGAAGACCACTCCTCCAGAGTGCTGTCTTTATCTCTTGCGTTATACTGTAGTTTTCTTTCTCACTTTTTTCTTTTTCATGATGCTCTTCCCTCTCTATCTGTCTGTTCATCATGGTTTCTCCCTGAACTCCCTCTCCTCCGCTCCACTAAGATCTCATTTTTCTTCATTTCTGTGCCAGTTTCTCTCCATTTACATCTTAATCTGTCTTATCACATAACCAATCTTAACCACCTCAATCTGATATCAGAACAATACATTATACTGTTACTATGCCCAACCTTGTTTACACATTCATTTTTAGAACCAAGAGACTTTTTTCCAGTTTAAAGGAAGAGTTTGCACAAACAATGAAAATGTCCAGAATGTTCAAGCTGCTCTTTTCCATCTGAAAAAAGTTTAAAAGAAATATTAATAATAATAATAATAATTGTCATTCCACCTTTTAAAACCTAATAATCTTCTTTCAGTGATGTATTTTTATTTATTTTTACCATGTCTTTTTTTTTAAAATATTGTCTGTAATGTCTAAAAATAACAATTCATTTGCTTTTGCTTTTTTTAATTGTATTTCCTTTTTTTGTAAGGAATATGCATACACGTGTGCAAAAATAAAAGACTTAAAAGAGAAAATTTTTTTTGTCTTTTTTTTTTTTTTAGGAAATAGTTATCTTGATCATGTATACAAGGCTTGCATAGAAAAGCTTCCATATAGCTTGCATGCTTGCTATATTATTTGTTTAGAATGTGAAAAAGAAAATTGTACAGATTTTGAACAACAGAAGGCTGGTGCACTATTGGACCAGTCACACATTTTTAGTTCAATAAAACTGTTTATTCAAACTAAGTGGTTCACTTTGTGGCTTTTTGAGATATGCAATCTGAACAACAACAACACACACAAATGTGACTTTATCAAAATAATCTAAGTGGTCATAAAAAAAGCTGTTTTAAGATGCAAAAATGATGAACAGCAAATGTGTAGCCATTTTTGTCCAGCCTCGGAAGGTTGAACATTAGTTCAAGGTTCCCTTTATTGCTAATATAAGAATGACTGATCTTTGATCGGAACGACAAAGAAACATACAGCCACCAGGACTCTTATCTGCCTGCTCTGGTCCTCATGGCTGCTTGTATGGGCCTGGAGAGAGGACTCACTGCTTCTGCCCTTATTTGGTGAGTGAACGAAGTGGAGGCTTGTGAAGTCTCACAGGCACATTCTTCTATTACCAATCTGGATCTCGCTGTATTACACATTTAGTTAAGAAGAACCCTGTACAGTTCTTCTCATTTTTACATATTCTCCTCTTGTGTGGCCTATTTTTACTCTTCCATTCTGTTGATATAGTCATTATAAACTCACGGCAGCAGACATGGATCCAAATGCAAACTCTTCTCTGTTTTCTTCCATTGCTTTTCTCTGACACAAACTGTTGGGCTTCCTTCCTTTCTCATCTTATCCGGTCCATTCCGACATCTTATGGTTCAGTCCACTTTGAATATATGAAAATAAATGACTGAACTCTAATATAATACGTGTGTATTTTTCTTTAACAACAATGTAACCCCAAAGTCATTGCCAGAAACAGATTTCAACAGGCCTGAATGATTTATTCCATAAAAGGTTTTGGGGGATATGGCCAAACACAATAAAAGTCACTGACAGATCTTTTTTTTTTTGGCTACAGCTACTGAACTAAAAGCTTGACCAGTGTGTTCACAGTTTACACAAAATTAATACTCAGCATTAAATTGACCAAAAGTGCCGGTAAAGACATCCTATATCAAATAAACACTGTTCATTTGAACTTTCTATTCATCAAAGAATCCTGAAAAAAAAACGTATCACTGTTTCCACAAAAATATTAAGCAGCAAAAAAATATTAAGAAGAACATATTGATAATAATAAGAAATGTTTCAGTATATTGTACCAGTATAAGATTTCTGAAGGATCATGTGACACTGAAGACTGGAGTAATGATGCTGAAAATTCAGCTTTGCCATCAGAGGAAGAAATTACATTTTAAAAATATATTAAAATATAAAGAAAAGTTGTGTAATAGTATTTCACAATAATACTGTATTTGCTGCATTTTTTACCAAATAAACACAGACGTGATGAGCATAAGTAGCTTCGAAAACATTTTGAAATATTCATACCTACTACAAACGACTTATTACTACTTAAATATTAATACTAATACATATTGTTGTGGTTTTATCATTTAACTTCTATCAGTGAAATGCTTTTAAGTTTGCCTGTGGTGACTTTACAATAAACAACAACTGCTTGGATGTTTCTTTTCTTTAGGAGCAAAGAAAAAATAAAAGGGTAGCAAAATGCTTGAAATGAATATAAAAATTGCAATACCAGTATTCAAATATCAGAACCGGAGGCAACAGATAAACAGAGAGGCTCAAATAACTGAGCAGAAATGTATTGGGTACGGAACAAAACAAAAGAGCAGAGACCGAGGGAGAGGGAGAGACAGAAAAAGAGAGGGGGCAAGCTTTATTTGAAAATGAGCAGGTTAAACTAGATTCTCTCAAGCTCACCAGCTCATCAAGCACACACATCAAATAACACTTTATGTTATTCAGTCAAAAGGCTATAAGGAAAAAGGCAAAAATATCCTCCAATTCACTTTAGTAGAGCAGAGTAGTTTGCAAACAGTGACAAAATATCTCCTGACTCCAGTGTGCATCAGTCTCCATTCTGTGCTGAAAGAAGTCCTTTATTAGTCCCCAAAATGTGTTTTTTTGCATACATTTTCTTTCTTTTTTGCACCAAAGTTGTTAAATAAATTTGGCACATGGAATGAAATACAAAGGACTAAAAAACTGATTATATGAAACCAAAAGTGATAATATATATATTCACTTATAATATAAGTGAAACTCATGTACAGTACAATACAAAAGCACATATAAAGTATCAGCAAGCACAGCCATGAAGCTGGAAAATGCAAACAGTGTGATTAGAATATTTAAAGCTGAAGTGTGACATTTCTGCATATTAAACAACTCCAATTCACTTTAGTAGAGCAGAGTAGTTTGCAAACAGTGACAAAATATCTCCTGACTCCAGTGTGCATCAGTCTCCATTCTGTGCTGAAAGAAGTCCTTTATTAGTCCCAAAAATGTGTTTTTTGCATACATTTTCTTTCTTTTTTGCACCAAAGTTGTTAAATAAATTTGGCACATGGGATGAAATACAAAGGACTAAAAAACTGATTATATGAAACCAAAAGTGATAATATATATATTCACTTATAATATAAGTGAAACTCATGTACAGTACAATACAAAAGCACATATAAAGTATCAGCAAGCACAGCCGTGAAGCTGGAAAATGCAAACAGTGTGATTAGAATATTTAAAGCTGAAGTGTGACATTTCTGCATATTAAACACAATTGCAATTGTTTTCAAACAGGTTTCCTTCCCATCTGCTATTGGTCAGCCAAACAGAAAGCCCCGCCCACTGATTGTGCTCAAGTCAACAAAAAGGTTTCCTCATAGCGCTCTGCATATTAAGCAACTAAATGCAACAATATTTCATTACTGACATTCTTACACACTTCAACCTTAAAGAAAACTAAAATAATAGAACTAATAAATGTTTAAGGTGCTTTAAGATTTCTCTGCTGTCTGTGAAATTCATAGACACCCTTTTCCATATACTGAATATACGTACTTGGAAAAGCTGATGCAACACAAGCTATGCTTTCAGATGAGAACACAAAAAGTGATACAGAAAATACTGATATACAAATCCTTCAAAAACTAAAACATTTTGAACGCCAGCCAAGCATACAAACATTCATCAAAGACCAACATCTCTCTCTATTGCATTTTATGATGCAATTTGAAAACTCATGAGAAACGTGGCAGATAAATTGCATCATTTCAGTTTTATCTCAGAGATCAAACTTTTTTAAAAAAAAGGAGAAAATAATGCTTTAGATAAATTAATTTAGGTTAACAAATAAAACAATTAAACATCATAGCAGGCTCACCTTTTAACATTGTTGCCATTCATTACTAAAACGAGCAATGATTCAATATTAATTGACATGTTTTTATACTGTATTAAAGTCAGGTGATTCACTCACAATTCTAAAAATCAGTCCGTTCCGAAAAATTCTCAAGTAAACATTAGAAAAAAGTTCCAAAGTACCAAATTCAATAAAAGCATATTTCCTTTCCAGAATGTCAATGCACTTTCTTTTTAAAGACAACTTATACAAATACCCACAATGCACTGATAATTATACGAACAGTATCCTATACGAATGATTGCCACTTAGACAATAACAAAATTGCTTCATGACAGTTATTTTGTAATTCTGTATGGGAAAAGTATTGTTATCTATACAATTAATGGTTAAAACACATCTGTTCCTATCACTTGTTAATTTTGGCCACACACAAGGGGAATGAGCAATTTCATAATTGTCCATGATATTGCCTTTAGCTCATTTTAATGAAACTATCAATCCTCATCTATAACCAATGGTCTCTATTGCTATTAACCTTGCACTGTTTATTACACAACACACAGATAATACACACACACACTCAGTTCAACACTGATGCCTGAGGTTTCTTCTCAGTATCATTCATACTGATCTACTGACTTCACTCAATACCGAGACTGCCTGAATCCTCACCGTACTAACTCTGAGCTACCGCATCCTGGAAATGAACAAAATAACATTGATGAATGTGCTGTTGTCAGAATAGCAGACGAAGGAACAGCAAGGAGACTGTGTGATGGCACAAAAACAAAGTGCTCAAAGTGAAATAAACTTCAGTGGTTTGTCTGTGCGGACATGGCAGAGCTACAACTGTTGTGTTTGTGAACACACTCACACATATGGACACACACACGTTCTCAAAGGTGAGGTGCCTCATTGGCCCTACACAGTAGGCACTGGAGTGGCCGTATTTGTGCCATTATTTCCTCTTTGTTAAAGCGGTTTAACATAGTTTCCTGGGAACGTTCCAAATAAGCTGGTTCTCCGAGAGGTACCTGAAAACAAAGACGATTATCTGCAATACAATTCAATAACTTTTATTTAACAAACATGTTTACGTGGTATAATGCATAAAAGATGACAACATAATATACATTATTATAATTACATGACACTTTGGGATACTTGATTCTGATTGGTCAATCACGTGATCAAATATTTTTGTATCATGATGGCTGTATAATTGCCTACTGGTCTGATTTCCCACATTCCCCACATTCCAAGCGGTGCAGTTAAAATAAAATAACTTCAACTCTAATCATGCATGCATTTGGAAATGGTGAAAGAACAGTATTATTCATTATAATTAATACATACACTAACCATTAGGCCCACGGGGAAGTCGTGGCCTAATGGTTAGAGAGTCGGACTTGTAACCCAAAGGTTGTGGGTTCGAGTCTTGTACCGGCAGGGATTGTAGGTGGGGGGAGTGAATGAACAGCGCTCTCTCCCACCTTCAATACCACGACTGAGGTGCCCTTGAGCAAGGCACCGAACCCCCAACTGCTCCCCGGGTGCCGCAGCATAAATGGCTGCCCACTGCTCCGGGTGTGTGTTCACGGTGTGTGTGTGCACTAAGGATGGGTTAAATGCAGAGCACTAATTCCTAGTATGGGTAACCATACTTGGCCACATGTCACGTCACTTTTTAACATTCAAAAGTCTGGGTTCAGCAAGATGGTTTTTTTGTAAAATAAAAAAGGACTCTTATATGCTCACTAAAGCTGCATTTATTTGATAAAAAAATGCAGTAAAATTTGTAATACTGTAATTATTACTAAATATATTTTAAAATATAATTTATTCCTGTGATCATTCTAATATGCTGATTTGGTGCTCAAGTGATCATATTATCAATGCTAAAAACATTTGCGCTGCTTAAAGGGGTCCTATTATGCTCTTTTACAAAGTCTTGATTTTGTTTTGGGGGTGTACTAGAACATGCTCTCATACTAGGTTGTTCGAAAAACACATTATGTGTCACATATTTTACATTATTACAACACCTCTCTCCCCAGTCTGGCATGAACGGCTCGAATAGTTCCTGTATCAAATGAAGGCCCGCCTTCTGAAATACGAAATGTGCTGTGATTGGTTAGCTGGGCCAGTGTTTTGTGATTGGTTAGCTGGGCCAGTGTGTGCTGTGATTGGTTAGCTGGGCCAGTGTGTGTTGTGATTGGTTCCACTCTGCGCCTGGTCGGGAAATGTCACGCCCCTTACCATAGCCGCCTGCGAGCTTCAGTGTAAATATTGCGTCAAAATCAAATCAATTCG